TGTGGGATCTGAGAGTTCTTTCCCTAACCCCCAAAACTCTAGGCCCTCCGTTTCCCCTCAAAAAGCCCACCTAACTTCCTCCTCAAGGGACCATCCCTGTACCTTACCTCCCCGCCTCCCACAGGTGGAGAAGGTGCACACCTTCCTGGACTACATCATGGGTGGCTGCCAGATCAGCTTCACGGTAAAGACCCAGGGACAGGAGAGGAGTCCAGATCCCTACTGCCCCAACTAGGGTGTCTCATGATGCCTTAGTGCGGTCAGCCTGTACCCATGAACTCACCCCCTGATGACGCCACCTGAGAGCCTGCCAATTTCATCGCCCTTCCTGCTGACTGGAGCTCCAGCCTAGCCTCTCTGTTGGCCCTCACGACGCAGCGTGACCCTTTCCCCACCCCTCCCAGGTAGCCATTGATTTCACTGCCTCCAACGGGGACCCCAGGAGCAGCCAGTCCCTGCACTGCCTCAGCCCCCGCCAACCCAACCACTACCTGCAGGCCCTGCGGACAGTGGGAGGCATCTGCCAGGACTATGACAGGTAGGAAGAGGTGAGACTGGGTGGCTGGAGGGACAGGCAGGGAGGCCTTGGCCGATGGGCCCCCACAGTCTTTTCTTCTCCCCAGCGACAAGCGGTTTCCAGCTTTTGGTTTTGGGGCTCGAATCCCCCCCAACTTTGAGGTAGGCTGCTGGTTGCGAGAGGAAGGGAAGAGATGGTGTGAGGGTGTCATGGGATGCGAAGACACCCCTGTCGCTCCTGAATACTCTCACAGGTGTCCCATGACTTTGCTATCAACTTTGACCCGGAAAATCCTGAATGTGAAGGTAAGAGGGACAGTCCCCCTGCCCACCTCAGCTTGAAGCACACACTGTGCATCCCGTGCAACAACATAGATTCCATACCCATGGGCCCCGTTCCCTGCCGGTCATCCATCAGCACCTGTGTTCATTTGATGAGATGCCCAGCACCTGCCCACCCCAGCCCCCCAGAGGCTGGCCATCTAACTGTCTTTCTACTAGGTAAAGAACACGGCGGGCAGGGCAGTCCTGAGATAGGGAAGCACATCCTTGCTTTAAGGGGTGTCAGGAAGGGCTCCCTACTAATCTCTGTCAGCCTCTTCTCTTTGCCCACAGAGATCTCTGGAGTCATCGCCTCCTACCGCCGTTGCCTGCCCCAAATCCAGCTCTATGGCCCCACCAACGTGGCTCCGATCATCAACCGTGTGGCTGGGCCAGCCCAGAGGGAGCAGAGCACAGGCCAAGCCACGGTGAGGAGACAAGCAGCAGTCACGAGCTCCCCATGTGCCTTTGGGTGGGGCCAGGGCCCAGATTTGGGGCAGATGCCAATGTCCTTGCACACAGAGCCTACCCATCCCCCCTTTGCCTGCCCTCAGAAGTACTCCGTGCTGCTGGTGCTCACGGATGGCGTGGTGAGTGACATGGCAGAGACCCGCGCTGCCATTGTGCGGGCCTCGCGGCTGCCCATGTCCATCATCATCGTGGGCGTGGGCAACGCTGACTTCTCCGACATGCGGCTGCTGGATGGCGACGATGGGCCCTTACGCTGCCCCAAAGGGGTGCCTGCAGCCCGTGACATCGTCCAGTTTGTGCCATTCCGGGACTTCAAGGATGTAAGTGCCAGCGCCCCCTCCTGGGGGAAAGACTCCTTGGCTACTTGTACCCCCAAATCTTGCCTCTCCCACCTGGTTGCAGTCCAGCAAAAGACTCTGGAGTCTGGGCCAGAGTCTTTTGGGACAGGCCACTCCAAAGCCCTGATGCTCTCACCTGACCCCATGCCCCCCTCCATCCACTAACCCCGTGCCTGCTGCCCCACCCCAGGCCGCGCCCTCTGCGCTAGCTAAGTGCGTCCTGGCGGAGGTACCCCGGCAGGTGGTGGAGTACTATGCCAGCCAGGGCATCAGCCCCGGAGCTCCCAGGCCCAGCACTCCGACCACGACCCCCAGCCCTAGCCCATGACTGCCACCTACCGGACTGACACTCCCTCAGCCTCAGTGAGTCCTGGGGACCCAAAGGGGTGGAAACTAGGGGGTACAAGGTGGGGCTCTTTGAAGCCCATCTTGGCTAGGTGAGATCTAGAGAAGGATGCTCATGACCATCCCATCCTCTCCCAGGTGCCTGTCCTGACCCTTGTGACCCAAGTGAACAGTGCCTCTTCCCATTGGACTGGCTGTGCCCCCTGGGTCCTGGAAGTGAGTGATGAGCCCTGCCCCATCTCTCCAGGCCCCATGCCCTTCAGCCTTGTAGCCCCTCAGTGACTTTCTTCAGTGATCCTGACCTCCTGGCTGTTAATAAAGTAAACCACTCCTAGCACCTTAGCCTCTACTCATCAAACCCCAAATGCCCACCGGACAGCACACAGTACCCACTCCCACACATATCATTAAGAAATGAGTCCAGCACCTCTGAGCCAGAGCTCCCCGGGCAGCTTGATATCGCTACAGTTTCACCCCAACTATGTGCCAGGGGGATCTGAGAGTCCCTACCATCACCCCAAGCCCCAGGAGGCCCAGGCACCATGGGGATTAATTATGGGAAGTGGGAGGGGGTAATTAGGAGCTGTCAAGGAGGCAGGCTGATACCCTCTTACAGCTGTCTCCAGAGAAGCCCAGCTGAGTCCCCCAGGGGCAGAACCCCAAACTCCACACAGCTGTGGGGCGGGTTGAGAAGGGGCGTTGGGGAGACCGAAGGTCTGGGCAGCCTGGTTCTCCTGGGTGTGTGAATGTGTGTGGTCATGCACTGCACATACCTGACTCTCCATGAGTGTGGCCCTCGGGGCTCAGGAAGTCCAGCTGGGTACTCATAATAACATTCACATCATCAAGCATTATTGTTTAGGGTGTATGAAGCTAGTGCTAAGTGCTCTAAATGCACTCATGCCCACTAAGTAGTACCATTATTTTCCCCATTTTTCTGACCAAACAAGTGAGGCTTAATTTACGCTTACCCATGGTCAAGGTCAAGCTGGAACTTGAGCCCAGACCCATTTGACTAAAGTGTCCAAACTTCTTACCCAAACTTCTGTTTGAGGCATATCTGTGTGACCCTCATCTTGAGACCCAGGTATATTTCTATATGACCTAAGGATGGGCACCCGCCAGTGTTTGGCAGAGCCTCAGCCGGTTAAGGAAGGTGTGCAAGAGCAGCGGTGGGTGTGGATTGTAGCTCCAGAGGGCAGGCAAGAACACAAGTGATATCCAGACGAAGGGAAGAGGACCCTCCCTGCCGAGACTCTCCATCCAAAAATGCATATGAAAGGGAAGGAGGGAGAGGGTTTAGATGCAGTAAGCCACTCAGAGAGAAGAGCCAGAGAAGGTAACCAGTGGCCAGTGTGAGAAAGGGAATGGAGAAGAGAAATAAATGCTGGGGAAGATGGAGAGGACTCCCATGGCAGACTTCTGAGTGGAGGAGGGACGAGCTGGGCTAAAGGAGGGGGAGGAGGGAACAAGAACTGTGAAGGAAAGAGACAGCTGGGGAGGGGGCGGATAGAGGGGGCAGAAAGGAAGAGAGACATATGGGAGCCTCTTCCCCCACACCTGACTGTTTCTCCCCATTTATTTTGTCCCTTAGAGGACCTATGGCAGTGGCTGGTGAGGTAGCTACTCCCAGCTCACTGCTTCTGCTCTGCCCAGAGCCCTGGTCCACTCTCTCTGCAGGCTGGTTACCATGGCAACTGTGAGACCTCAGGATAGCCATAGAGTGACCTGGCTGGTCCTGGCTTCTATGCAATGATGATGGGAGAGGGAGGCTCCATCTGGCCCAATCCTTGCCTCTCCACCTATTTTCATTAGGCCTCCAGAACTGAGATGCACCACTCAGCCCAGGTGGGGGCTTCCCAGCCCGCCCCGTCCCTCACACACACACACACACACACACACACACTCACACACAAACACCTTGAGCAAAGACAAAGAATACAGGAAAATTTCTAATAACAGAGTTCCACTGGACTTCAAATTTAATTCACAAAAGCAGTATTCTCTCAGCTCCTTGGCCTCCTGGGGAAAGTCTCGCCTCTGCCCTCAGAGATACAGGAGGCAGCAGGGGCACTGTTGCAGGTCTGAGGCCGAGGCTGTCTGGAGGGAGCTGCATAGGACCAGTATGCAGACTCACCCACTGCCGAGGCTGCAGTCAGGAAACTGAAGCCCAACAGGAAGTCCCTTTGGTGAGGCTGTCTTTGGGGCTTCTTGGGGAGACCACTAGGGCTCCGGCCCTAAGGAGATGCAAGACCTGGAAAGGTGCCAGAAGTCCTCCAATCCACGTGAGGATAAGATAACTGAGAGCCAGGGAGCAAGTGACTTGTTCAAGGTGACAAAGGTATATCCTGTGCAGAGCTGGGACTAGTGCCCAGATCTCCAGACTCCTGTCCAGGGCTCTGTCCCAGCCCACACCAACCACCCCCAGAGTTCCTTGGGTCTTTGCTACTCTGCCCCAGAGGCCACTGGGTTGCATAGGAAGACAGCCTCTTAGATTTCCTTGTCTGTCTTGCTATTAGGAATTGAAATCTTGAAAATGCGGTAGTCCTACAAAGGGGAGGTTATAAGGTTCAGAACAGAGATACAATCTCATTGCCAATTACCACTTAATGCACTACAGGTTGAAAAGTGTGGATTAAAAACTAAACTGGGAGGGGGGTGCTCTGTCACTGTCACCCCGCCATCATCACTCCCACCCCCACCCCACCCCCCACATACACACACACACACAAGAGTGCCTAGCACTGGCCCCTGCAGATCTGTGTGCTGGTCCTGTAGGGTGGGACAAGAGGTGGAAGGTTTCTGCGCATGACCTCCGTGAGGGAAGGGCACCCCGAAAATGACCAGCAGCTAACCTCGGAGCGCTGAGGGTCCAGAAAATGTGGGGATATCTGTGTGGTCACACAAAGGAGAGGCTCGCACCAGAAGGCGCTCGCACCAGCACAGGCGCCTCCTGGGTGGCGCCCCCTACCGGCCCGCCCGTTCCACCACTTGGCGGCGCCTCAGGGCTCAGAGGAAGAGGTGGGCGTGGCCCCCGGCCCCGGCGCCGCCCGGAGCCAGCCGGTCGCAGCGCTCCTTGTAGAGGTCGCGTTCCCGGGCCAGGCGGGCCACCTCAGCCCGCAGCGCGTCCAGCTGGGCAGCCAGGCGGGCGCGCTCGGCCTCCAGCCCGCGCCGCTGCTGCAGCCTCTTGGAGCGACAGGCCTGCGCGTAGCCGCGGTTCTTCAGCGTGCGGCGCCTCTGCTTCAGCCGCAGGGCCTCGTCACGGCCGCAGCCGCGCAGCTGCCGGTTTAGCTCCCGCACAGACATCGACACCAGGGCCGCGTCGGAAAACCGCTCCGCCGGCTGCAGAGCGAGCGGGCAGAGGCCGGGTCAGCGCCGGGCGCCTCGGGGGCTAGCAGGGGGTGGTGCCAGGCGGGCCCCGCCCCGGGACGGCTCCGCCCCCGGCTGCCGGCTTAGCCGGATGCTCGCCCTGCCACAAAATCCAGCCCGCGGTCATTCCCAGGGCCCCCCAAGTGTCGGGGCGCTGGATCTAGCCGCCCCCCGCGCCCCTGTCCTGAAGGCCGCAAGCCTGTGACCCTCAAAGGCTTTGGATTACAGCTAATGCCCGCAACACCCCCATCTGTGTCTATAATTAATAGGATGAGTCGAAATCCTTCCTGAGAAGGTTGGGGGGCGGGGAAAGCACGAAGTCTTGAAAAAACAAGCCTCATTCTGGTTCCCGTAACTCCTTTGGGCGCGCAGCCCCTTCCTTGGTTTCCACTCGCGGAGTATCTGTTTACCTCCCGGTAATAGCCCTGCTCCCCGGTGCCCTTGAATTCCCAACCTCTCCCCTTGCGGTCCACTTCTAACCTCATTATCTCCTTCCTCCTGGTTCAGCCCACTCATATTTCTCCATTTAGAAAAAAGGGAGAGGGGAATAATGTGTTTTTCCCTCTAGTTTCTTTCAGGGCCCCTTCTTCCCTTCTCCTGCACTCCCTAACCCTCCCCGGGACCTCTCCTTCCTCTCTCCCGCTGTCCTCCCTCATCCTGCCTCCCTTCAAAATGTCTGGGTGATTTCTTACCTGGGTATGCTGGGCTCCTGTCTCCTCTGGGTTCCCTGGGTAGTAGCTGTGGGCCCCCTGGCCAGGTACTGGGCCCTGACCCTGCAGCATCTCCACAACTTCCTCAGGACTCAGCCCCAGGGCGTCCCCAGTCCCCAGATGCTGCTGCAGGGTGGCTAGCCAGTACAGCTCCTCCAGGCCTGGTCGGGGGCCCTCGGTGGCCCCCACCAGGCCTGGGTCACTGAAAGTGGGTGAAGGAGGCACTGAGCTGTAGGGTGTGGAGCCCAGTGAGGCTGTGGGGGGGACAGATCGCCCTTCAGAGGGTTCCCGTTTTACCTCAAACTTCATCAAGTCAAAGTCATTGACATATTCCATGGCCAGGGGACTGGGAGGTAGTGTCATTCTGAGGCTGGATGGGTGGGGGGGAGCACCTGCAAAACAGAGGAGAGGTCTGGAGCACCTAGAGGTGGTCTACCTGCCTCCTTCACCCAAATCTACTTCCCCTAAAGCCCAAGTGTCCTGGAGCCAATTCTGGAAAGTCAGGGTGATGGCGTGGCCCTGATTCCCCACCGTCACCTGTGGGCTGGGGGCATTTTCAGGTGGCAGGGTCTCCTGTCTAGGGACATGCAGGTCTATATAAAGACTTGATTGAGGTAGAGAATAGCACAGCCTCTGGCCCCTCAGGTGCCTCTGAGATCTTTGAAGAACAAGAGGAATATGGCAGGGTTCCCAGCTCTAGTGCTGGGACCTACTGAGAGACACTGTCATCTCAAGAGGCATTATTCCAATTCCAAGCAATTAAAACAATTTGCTTAATTAACCATGACAGAATGAGTGTGTATAGTAGGACAGTGGAAAAGCACAAGTGTTGTGAATTTTAACGTAAGGATAAGGTGCTATTATACCTCTCTTTCTCTCTTAGCACCTAGGCCAATGCTTTGCAAAGAGAAGACCCTCAGTTCTAAATCAATGAATCTCTTTTATAACAGCAAGAGCCTTTCCAAGGACAAATAGAAAGTTCCTAGAATCGGTTCTGGAAAGATCAGAACTGAATGGTGACCATCCTTTCCCAAGGCCAATCTGTTCAATGGAACAATCAAGACTGGTTTTCCTCCTACTCAGAACCTGCTACATCGTGTAAACTTGAGCAGATCACCTTCCTCTTTCTAACTGTGGGTTTCCCATTCTGTTCAGTGAAGGCAATTAAACACCATTTCCCAAAATATGTTCTGTGAAACACTGTCAAGTGCCCAGGAAGAGGTCTGTGCTCAGATAATTTTGAGAAATACCTCCCATGCCTGCCTACTGCAGCTTCACAAAGCACAGTCACATATTAATCTGAGAAGCCCTTCTGTAAACCATGGTCAACTGTGACACCAAGTGTCCCAAACTATGCCACCAAGGAGTTCTCTCCCTTGTTTTCAGCCATGGAGCATGTTCCCGCCTGAGCAATCTCTGGCTAGAGGACTTCAAAGATCCTTCCTGGCCTGGAAGTCCCCAGTCCCAGCCCAGTTCCCAGTTCCAACAGCCCCACACCCAACCCCAGAAGAGGAAAGGCAGGGAGCACTCCTCCCCAAGGCTGAGAGTTTGATTCCATCCTGTTGGAGCCAGGGTAGCCCTCTTTCCAGCCATATCTCAGACCCAAGACTCTACCCAGGACCAGAGGAGGAAGGACAAGGCCTCGCTCTCTCTTCCCATCCCAGGATTGTTGCCCTTATCCACAGAGCCCCTTGCCTTGGAGAAGACAGAGGGCATAGGAACAAAGATGCAGGTTGAAGGAACTGACCCCCGGTAGCGAGGAGACAGCAAGACAAGACGCTGACAGAGGTGTCCAAAGAACTGGAGGAAGAGCTGAGCGAGAAGGGTTGTTTATCTTCCCGACATGATAGCAGTGAGAGCCATCTGGCCAGTCAGAATGGGAGTGGGACAGGGAACGAAAGTGTGAGAATCCCTGAAAACAAACGAGACAGAGCAGGCAGCAGATGTCAGAGGAGGAGGCTTAGGTGAGAGGCCTGGCACCAGGCAGGTCCAGAACATACTTACTTCAGGAATGGTAGGGATGATGTGGTTAGTGTCAGAGCCAGGCTGACACCGCTTCCCCAGAGGCTGGAGGCCCCATCAAGCAGGACCTGGTGCCTCCATACAAGGGGAGTGACTACGGTTCCAGAGCCCACAGGGGTGTTCTTAAAGGGCCAACACTCTGAGGTCATCCTGGTCTTCAGGCCCCTGGCCAATGAGATAAGTGAATCATTTGCATATCTCATTGGCCTGAGGGTGGGGGCAGGGAAGAAGAGAGGAGAGGATAAGTGTGACTTTTCTCAAGAAATGGAAGAAGGCATCTTTCCCAACAAAGCTCGCACATGCTCAGATCCACAGTACAGAGAGCCACATGGGCCCCGAGCCCCGCTTCATGTGAACACACCCTCAGCCCTCGGTGCCTGAAAGCCTGAGACTGGAAGAGATGGCTCCCAGAGAGGTGACTCCCAGCACCCTCACCCTCTAAGCCCCTGCAGCCCCAGTCAGTATTCACAAGTTCTCCTGAACCCACTTCACATGGCCTGTTGGGTTTGTGACCTGTGTTTAGGAATCCTCACATTTCCTTTTCTTTTTTAAGATTTATTTATTTATGCATACAAGAACTGGGGTACAGGCCAGAGATGTGGGGGTGAGAGGATTTACCAGAGACAGAGTGGGGAGCAGAACAGCAGATTTTACTGAAATACACTGCTGAGGAGCGGCTGGCGAGACAGGAGAGGTCTGCTGCGCCATGTGGGTCACCTCCCTGGCCGGGGATCCAACTTGTGCTGCAGTGGCTGCAGATAGCTTCATAGTGCTTGTGTCTTAACCCCTTGCGCCACCAGGGAGGCCCAGGAATCCTCACATTTCTGCCACCCCCACCATGACCGGCTTCATGCCCCTCATAGCTGTCACATCAGAAAGATAAGCAGCCCTCCCTACCATGAATCATGAATCAACAAGACTTGGCCATCCAACTTCAGCCTCGCCCACTCTGGCTGATCCAACCCAGCTTGGGAGAAGGGAGAGTGGGGAATTCTACTATTTCCTTCCGGTCACATCAGGACACTGAAATCTAATCACTGCAATCCTTCTAAGACACTTTATAACTGCCTCACATGCCCTCTGCTTCCTCTCACCTTTTCCTTATGTGGGTCTCTGTCCCTTTCTCTGCCTTTCCCACTCATCCTGCCTCCCAGATGGCTGGGCCGTGACCTACATTTTCAGCCTAATCCCCTAACACCTCTTAGAGCTATCATCCCCGGGAGAAGTTGGACTGGGGATACTAGGAATTAGGCAAGGAGATGTTTAAACCAGTCTGAATCTGTTTAATAGGGTCTGTACTAGAATAGAACCCTAAGAGTTAAAGGCCATTCCCTACCTACTGAGGACACCCAAACCCTCCCGTGGGATAACATTGCCTTTTCCCATCCTGGAGAGAGACCTGGGTGTCCATCAGCCCCAAGGATCAACATATAAAAATTAACCTGGTCCCAACCTGAGGTGCTGGGTGAAAAGCTGGTAAATTCAGATGACCTAAGACAAGATGTGGTCCCCAGACCAGCAGCACCACCTGGGGATATGTTAGAAATGCAAATCATCTGGCCTCACTTCAAATCTACTGAAACAGAAACTCTGGGGGTAGGCCACAAAAATCTGTTTGAATGAGCCCTCTAGGAAATTTTGATGAACGCTAAAGTTTGAGAATCATTAGTGTCCAGAATACCTATAGTCAACTCAGCTTCCTTCAGGGTGTGTGTGTGTGTGTGTGTGTGTGTGTGTGTGTGTGTGTGGTCTCTCCTGCATTTTCCTTGTGCACATGTAAGCAGGCCGAGGCAGAGGTCATCTCTCTCTCCGCACCTGGCCTCTACTTTGTAAAGGCCATTGTCATTGTTCAAGTGGAAAGCTTCTCAACGTGACTGCCTGTGCTGTTTGTTTGTTTTTTAAGATTTATTTTATTTATACAAGAACCAGGGTACAGGCCAGATGCGCGGGAGGGTGAGAGGATTCACCAGAGACAGAGTGGGGAACAGAACAGGCAGACTGACAAAATACACTGCTGAGGGGAGCAGTGGGCGAGACAGGAGAGGTCTGCAGTGCCATGTGGGATTCTCGCTGGCCAGCCGGGATTGAACCCGCACTGCAGGGGCTGCAGACAGCGTCACAGGGCGGCGCTCAATCGCCTGCACCACCAGGGAGGCCCTGCCTGCGCTGTTTTTGCAGAAGACCCAAAAAGCCCAGGACATGGGATCATGGCCAAAAAATGGGAACAGGAATCATGGAGACAGGGGACTTGCACACATGCCCGCAGAATATGACTGTAAGGTAAAACACCCAGAAAAAAGACCCCAGAATTTCCCTTGCTGAAGAATGGTAGGGAGTGTTGACTGCAGCCCCTTTTCATGCCCCTTCTGGCAGCCAGACACTGGCTCCCCAGCAGATGTCAGGTCTGCGATGATCTTCTTGTTTACTGGGAGGCTCAAAGGAGAGGTGAGAGCACTAAGCTGCTAATGATCTAAAGGCGTCAGACTAAACAAGCTCAGGGAAGTTGAGTTGCTCAGGGCTCAGACCAGGCAGCACTGACCAGAGCAAAGGGTCTGGGGGGTGAGGATTGGCCCGAGGAATGGACCAGGGCACAGAGAAGAGAGACAGCTAGAGCCCACGGAGACCCAGGAGGTGGTGAATGGATCCTCTTGGGAGAGGGAAATGCACACTGAGACTGACTGACTCAGGGAGTCTGGGAACTGGGAAAAGGGGTGAAGAAGAGGAAGTGAGGTAGACTCTAGGAATGACAGAACAGAGAAGGAAAGGCAAGACCTCACCAAGGAGGCAGTAGCTATGGAGCTGGACTATAGCACAACAAGCCAGTGCCCCTCCTACATTTGATTTCAAAGACACAGAGGAATGTAGGCTTATGGGAAAGACAGTCAAAGGGTCGCAGGAGAGTGAACCAAGGAGGGATTAAGGGGTAACAAGAAAGGTGACAGGAGCAAAGGACTAGAAGAGCACAAGTGTAGAAGAAAGGGACAGAAGAGAGCAAGATCAACTAGAAGCAAATACAGAGGGCCAGACAGATAGGTGGCCAGGTCACAGGGGAAGATCGATGGTCTGTCGACAAGCAGATAGGTGTGAACAGAGAGATGCTGGGCCCAGGGGAAAGAAAGCCGGGCAGGCCAGGGCCTAGAGGAGTGGGGTAGAAAACCAGAAGGAAGGAGATGAGACAGTCAGTATTCTGTCTCAACCTCTTCTCCTGCATCCCCATTTCTGGACTCCTGTAAAGACTCATTCTCATTCCTTGTTCTGGCTTTTGGTATCTAGAGTTTCAGTAGTGGATCCAAACCCCAAATTCCCCCTGGTCTGTCTTGTACATTTATTTGACACCTTCTCTGCCCCAGGCACTGTGCTAGGCATCAGGGCCACTTCAGTAGATCAAACTGACACCCATGCTGCTTTCAGGGAGCTTACAGATGGATGAAACAGGGGTGGGAAAAGAGGAGGACCAAGGATCAACGGCTGAAGTTGCCTCCCCCACACCATCACATTCTGCAGTGGGGTCCTGAGGATTCCCAATAAAATCCAATTTGAACCAAATTTCAGGCCATTATGTCTGCATTTGTCAAAGTTGAAAAGTAGAACATATTTTATTTAACAATTTGTTAGCTTGAGTTGTTACATTTCAAATATTTAAACACAAGGCTTGTAAATCTATTTGTACTCTTGCCCCAGGCCCTACATGTGCTGGAAGGGGCCTACATAAAAACAAACCTCTGGAATGAGGTGAGTGCTAAGACGGAGAAGGGCAGGTGCTATGAGAGTTGATTTCATGAAGACCTGATTAGGTCTTCAAGCCGGCACTGGCGAGGACCGCGCTGCAGGTCAGCAGGTCCAAAGAAGCCTGCAGAGCTGAGTCTGGCCAGGGGAGAAAGAAGCGCCCACACCTGGATGTGGAGAGGACAGAGATTCCTAGGGCAGGAACAGCATGTGCAGAGGCTCTGGGCGGGACAGAGCTAGACATGTTCACAAAATTGGAAAAAGACCAAGGTGGCCGGAGAGTAGGAGCCAAGGAAGCGGGAAGAATGGTGTGGCTGGGTGGGAGACGCAAAGGGATTTGCTGAGGGGTGCAGTCGGCTGAGACCAGTTTGTGCAGAGTATTGTAGGCCAAGTTTAGGATATAGGCTTTATTCTAAGAGCAACAATAGGCTGCTAAAGGATCTTTTAGCAGGAACATGACGTGGTCAGATAGTGTTTGAAAAGAACTCTGAATCTAGGGTGGAGCAGGGCAAAAATGGAATCAAGGTGAATACGGTATCCAAGTTGACTTTGGGGAGTATCTTAAGCTGGAGACAAACTCTGAGATGGCAACTTGTACACAGGTGGTTAACTGGGGAGTACTTTTTTTTTAAGATTTATTTATTTATGCATACAAGAACTGGGGTACAGGCCAGAGGTACAGGGGCAGGGGTGAGAGGATTCACCAGAGAGAGAGTGGGGAACAGAGCGGGCAGATTGACTGTAATACACTGTTGAGGGGAGCAGCAGGCGAGACAAGAGAGGTCTGCTGCGCCATGTGAGTAGCTCCCTGGCTGGGGATCAAACTCGCGCTGCAGAAGCTGCAGGATTGCCTCACAGTGCTGTGCTTAACCCCTTGCACCATCAGGGAGGCCCTGGAGAGTACTTTCAAAAGGAGTGAGAGTAGCAGAACTGGGCAAAGGGAAAAGTGGAGATGCATTGCAGTTACGAAAGAGGCTTTAGCAGATCCCATAGGCGGTCTGGAGCTGGGAAGCAGCTTCCGAGTTGTCCCAAGCTGAGGCAAAGGGTCAGGCCTTTGTGCTCTTGCATCAACCTGTATCACTGGATATGTGTTAACTCCGAAAGTAGGTGTTGCATGTAGCAGGACACTGCCTTCAGCCACAGGTAGATATCAGGGAAGTAGTCAGCTGTGAGTCACCAGCAGCCAACACTCAGGGCTGGGGCAATGAGCACCAGGACTCCGAAAGGTGGTCTGGGCTGCACGCCACAGTGGGGGTGGGGTGGAGACATCCACAGGGTGACCCAGAGGGCCCTGAGGAGAAAATGCAGACCTGGGCAAGGCTAGTCACACCCTGCCCCCTGGTGGTGTGCCATGGATGCTGGGGAGTAGGGCCACACTGAGCTGGGGAAGGACCATCCTTGGACAAGCTGAACAAAAGTGTGTAACAGGTAAGAGGAGTCAGTAGTGCAAGAAAATCCTCTTGTAAGCCCCTTGCTCAGTCTCCCTAAATTTAAGGAAGGAAGACAAGGGAAGGATCGGAAACAAAGGACTCATTCATTCAACCAACACTTACAAAGTGCCTATTATAGGCCAGAGTTGGCTTGAAGCTAAGAATAAAAGCAAGACTAAGGGGCCTCCCTAGTAGCGCGGGGGTTAAAGACACAGCACTATCAAGCTATCAGCAGCCACTGCAGCAGGAGTTTGATCCCTGGCCAGGGAGCTGACCCACATGGCTGCCACTCCCCTCAGCAGTGTATTTCAGTAAATCCTGTTCTGCGCCCCATTCTGTCTCACCCCCACTCCTCTGGCCTACACCCCAGTTCTTGTATGCATAAGTAAATAAATCTTTTTAAAAAAGACTAAGGTTTGGGTCCTTTACTCAAGGAGCTAACACTCTAGTAAGGACTATAGAGGTACAAAAGCAACTTTAATGAAGTGCACTACATACAAAAACATAGATATGTAGATGGCATAAGACCAACACACATGAGATATATGTTAATTCTAGGGAACAAACTAACTTCATATAGGTGATGTTTGGGTCTGAAGGGCAGAAGGCTCTGGAAACTGCAGGATTGCTGTGTAGGTAAGAGGATGGCAAATAGGAAGGTGGGGGTAATAACGTTAGACAAAAAGGAGTCACATTTTTAGGGACATCTGCTGCCATGTGATAGGAAGACTTAAAGGGATTTTAAGCCTGAGAGTGATATGATTTCCTTTTTTAAAAAAAATGATAAATCAAGGGGACACCATATGACAGCAGGGAAAAAAAACAACTTGGTTATTGAAGTCAGAAAGAGTGGAATTCAGATTCTATTTTTCCTGCAGCCCAGCTGCGTGAGTTTGAGCGAATGATTTAATTTTTCTAAGCCTCAATGTTCACATCTGTAAAACAGGGCTGTTATGAAACCAAACGTGACTGCATGCAACGCTGCTGGCACAGAGCCTGTCACTAATGAGGATTATCCCCCCTCTTACCTCTCCAAAGTGAACTTATTGCAGTTTGGAGGTTAGGGAGGGTAACTTAGTGGGAGGGAGATGGGGGTGGATTTGGAGAGGTGGGAAGCCAAGAGGTGGCTTGAACGCTATCACCTGAAGCCAGGTGAGCAATAAGCCCTGAACAGCAGTGGTCATAGCTAATTGTGGAGAGCTAATTGTGAAATACAAATCCAAAGTCCTGGTGTCTAATTGGCTATGGGAGATAAGAAAAGAATAGTCTAGACTGATTCAGATTCCTCTAGGGCAATTGGCTGAATGGTAGTACCATTTGCTGAGTTTGGGAACTATAAGAGAGGGAGTAGGATTAAGATGATGATATTCAGTAAGCAGACCTATGCCATCAGGGTCCACACCTTTAGGTTCAGAAAGTGGCCAAAGAAGCAGCTTTTTAGCAGCTAGTGAATGTGGACAGAGTTTAGATGTAGGAACTGAAGGGAAATCCCAAACACATACACTTGAGGTTGCTTGCAGTATGGCGCCTGTGTGGAAGAGATGAGGACCCATAGCAAGCCCAGTGCTGGAAACCAGCTCTCCTAGCCCCATTCTATTCCAGCACAGAACTCTGAGAAGTCTGAGAAGCAAGATAGTTTTTGTTGCAAATGGCGGAATGCCACTTAAAATTAGCTTGGGCGAGAGCAGGAATTTATTGACTTCTAGAACTGAAATCAGGAATCTGCCCTCTCAGTCCCTCTGCTCCTGCTTCCTCTAGGCTGGCTTCTGCCTGCTTTGCAGAGCCAAGCTGTCACACAGCAGCTCCAGGGTTATATTCTACCAGTTCAACCACCCCAGCAGAAAGCAAGTTCATTTTGAAAGTTTACAGAAAAGTCTCAAAGAGGAAGGTTCTGCCGGTCGCTGAACATTCCCAATTGCTGTGGCCAGAGTGAGGAATGCACAAAGGGCCATGCTGATAGCCTACACCCCAGAGATGCATGAAACCACACAGGTGAGGAAGTGGTCCTCAAGGGGCAACCGGGTGCTATTAACAGAAATGGGGAGTGGATGCTGGGCAGATGCCCATGACAGGCATATTGAGTTTGAGGCGCTATGGTGCAACAGGGTGGTCCCCAGGAAAGGGGGAGGTTCCCTGCCCCACCCAAGGGAGGGTGGAGCTGAGCAGCAAGAGGAGAAGCAGAAGAGGAGACTGAGGAAGGAAGGAAGCAGGATGGAGCCATAAGGAGACCTGTGTAACAGGGTGGTCCCCAGGAAAGGGGGAAGTTCCAGGTTCCCTGCCCCACCCAAGGGAGGGTGGAGCTGAGCAGGAAGAGGAGAAGCTGCAGAAGAGACTGAGGAAGGAAGCAGGATGGAGCCAGAAGGAGACCTGGAGGAGGCGCATGGAGCCTAGAGACACGTAAAGAAACTGCTTGTCTTTTGGTCGTGGACTGGGTGACACAGATGTGGGTGAGACCCGTGGGGAGGTGACAATGGCAGTTTTTATCTTGATGTTGATTTTGCTCTTTTCCTTCAGGGCTTGTCCAGTTGTTTGTGACCCTTTTCTGTGGGTCCCCACTGGAAGATGTTTTAGACTTGTGGTAGACTTTGGGGCCTTGTTCTGGGCCGATCCCATATGGATGGACTTTTACCCACGAGGGGATGGGTAACTTTGGGTGCTTCATTTAGAAACTAGACTCTTTGCCTTACCTGTATTGTTTCCTAGTTTTATTAAAGTTCCTTCCCATTAGTCTCATGTGTTTTGTGTTGATGCGGCGGATGGCAGAACCCATGTAGAAAAGGCAGGTTTGCGGGGTTTTGGGCTGCCCCTCTCCCTGCTCTATAACAATGGCACTTAGGGTGATGTCCAGTGGTCTCAAGTTGCACAGCCATATCTGGATGGAGACATAACTTGAGAAATTACCTGAGGACTCATGGTGGTGATTCAGTGGGGCAGATGAGTTCTCCAAGGCAGTGCCTCCAAGGAATGACCAGGGGCAGAGACCTAAAGAGGAGACTCTGGGATGGAGAGACACCACCCTTTCATGGCAAGGCTGAAGAAAGTCCTGATCCGGGGAGAACAAACAGGGATTTGGGAGTTGGGGAGAATACAGATTTTATCTTTGGGGCCCTGGTTCTGAATGCACAGTCCTCAGGAAGAACGGAAAAAGCAATGCCTAACCCCGGGTTTTCTAGACCTCCAGGCCTCAGGCTCCCTCCCCAGGTCTCGCCCCTCCACCGCCCCCCCCCCCCCCATTCCCAGCTTGTTTGCCGCCCTTTATCTTCCCTGTCGCTATCTCCCCGGAGCAAGAATCCTCAAAGTTACATCATGTGCAGGGGGGCACGGCGGCACGGGGGCGGGGCTTAGAGGAGGGGTGCCTAGGAGAGGACCCTGTCCGCCAATGGGGGCGATGAGCTCGGGGGTTAGCTGTAGAGGCGGGTGCCTGGCTGGGCGGGCCCCGGGCCGGGAGCCCCCGCGCCGCGGGGTGAGCGGGGCGAGCGGCGGGGCGGAGAGAGGGTCGCGGCGGCCCGAGGTTCCGCCCCTGCGCTCGCCCGCCTCCTTTTTAGGCGCCTCCCGCCCAGCTTAGCTCCGGCTCGCTGCGCCGCGCTCCCTCCGTCCCTGCCTCCCGTATCTCCCCGGCTCCGCTCCGTGTTCGTGGCCACCCCGCAGCCCCCACCCCGGTGCCATGGCCGCTGTGTACCGCCCCGGCCTGCGGTGAGTGACCCCCAGCCCGGGGCCGACCCGCACCCGCCGCCTGCTCGCCCCCTCGGGGCTGCGGGAGCGCTCCCCGGCCGGCTCCCCTCCGCCTGGTTTCCCATCCGAGGACGAGGGCAGGGGCGAGGGGCTTTGGGTCTGACATCACGGCCAGCGAGGCTCCCGAGATCTAGGGCGTCCACAACCGCCCCGGCTCGCGGTTTCCGTGCTCCCCCCTCCCCGCTTTGCTGGTCTCAGCGCGCACGTCGCAGCCACTCTCAGAACTTCCTTCCCCCTCCTCTGTCGCCCAGGCTGAACCTTGTCTCCGCGGCTCCTGCTGTCCTCTGCAGGCGTCAGCTTCGGCCCCAGGTAGCGATGGGGGGCGTAGGCCCTGGGGTCAAAGGTGCTTGGGCCTCTGGGGACTGAGTTCACAGCTCCCTCAAGAAGGTAGAAGGTAAACATGCATTCCCCGGCCTCCCTTGGACTGGACCTGGCGGGCAGCCCGGGGCAGCTGGGGCCTGGGGAAGGGGGGAAGTAGGTGGAGGAGGGGGCCGAGTTGCCTTCAGTTCTTCTATGACTGCCTGCATCTCCAGGCCGGGACCTGGAGCCCCTAGGCCCTGCTTGTCTATCCCCTCCCCCTTGCACCGCTCGCTGTCGTCTCTCTATAGACTCCCTCCGCCAGGGCTTTGTTCCAGCGTCTAGGCTGACCCCCTTCTCTCCCAGAGCTGGTTCCATTCGTTCAGCCCCAGTGGGTGGTCTCTGGAGCTGAAGGAAAGGAGAAAGTCCCACTAGGGGACTGGAAGGGAGGAGGGGAGCTTCACAAGAGACTTCCTGAGCCAGCCTCCTCCCCCTCCAGATTGTGTGCCTTTAAATTCATGCTCAGGGAAAACCTCCCTCACAGGCAGGTCCCTGGAGTCCTCCTCCTCTGCCCCAAGGCCACCCTGGGTTTCCATCCTGCTCTGGAGCGGAAGCCACCCCAGCTCCCACATCCTTTATCTGAGCTCACTCCCTTCTCCAGGTTGACACCCTCTGAGGGTGAGCAGTACAGTCTGATTTTCCACCCTTCCACCAGTACCCAAAACTCTAAGCAAGTGTCTTCTGGGGAAGAGAGCCTGGGTAGGGACAGGGTGAGTGGCCCTGGGTTTGGGAGCACCATGTCTGATGGGTGGGCCTCCGGCATGGAAAGAGAGCAAGAGAGGACACCCCTCTCTTGGCCTTTGCTCTCTCAGGGTCACTCCACCCTGGGTCCAGGCCAATCAGAGCAGACCCTGCTTCTTCCTCTCCCAGGGGTATGAAAGGACAGACAATTGGGACCCTGGCTCCTGGGGAGAGGGGCATGAATCCCAGTGCCTGACGTTCCCCAATAGTCAGCCTCCACACTTACTTCCACAGAGGTACCTACCCAATGGCAACCTTTCATGCAATCTTTGTTGACCCAGCTGGGCAGCAGCAGGTCCAGTGCCTGGATCCCCAACATTCAGTTACCCACTCTATGTGCAAGAATCCTAATCTAGAGACCTGATACTGTGCCATGTCGACTGGATCCTTCGCTTAAGGCTGGCACAGTCTTAGAGCGTACACCAGAAGAAGGAGTAATAAAAATAGTTGCCTTTTTCGCTTATAAAAAGTATACTTGAGATTGAAAAGAACAAGGATGACAGCTTTAAACATCAGACACATGGAGCTATCACCTGGACACAGTTTATTGACATTTGGGCCATTGAGCACCTGCTCATTTCTAAATATTGACCAGGCATAGTTAAATATGGCCACAGGCTAAGCCTGCAACATCATCTTGCTTATATAAACACCTCCGCAAAGCCAGGCATTTGGTGATATCCACCCCTTGCTGACAAATGAACACCCTCCCTGAACTTCAGAAAAGCCACAAAATGTATCTGGACTGAACCCCCGCCTACACACACACACACACACACACACACACACACATAGCTGCTCCAACCTGTTCTTCACTGCAGCTACCCCTGACCTGCTTTAGCATGCTCCCCAGAAGCACAGGTTTCCATCCCCATGAGAACACCTGCTCATTACCTCCCTGCTTCCTCTCTCACAGGCTCAGCCTGCGTGGCCTGAGTCCCTGGGACCGGTCACCACGGCGTAGCATCCAGACCCTGCGAGTGCTCAGTGGAGATCTAGACCAGCTACCTGCTGGGGTTCGAGACTTTGTGGAGCGCAGCGCCCGCCTGTGCCAGCCAGAAAGCATCCACATCTGTGATGGGACAGAGGCTGAAAACACTGCCATACTGGCCCTCCTGGAGCAGCAGGGACTCCTCCAAAAACTCCCCAAGTACAATAACTGGTAAGCCCTGGGCCCTGCACCCAGCACTAAGGGGCAGCTGATTGGAACTAAGGCCATTTTGGGTTTATCAAGACAAAATCTGTTTTCTTAATTTTTATTTATTTATGCATACAAAACTGGGGTACAGGCCAAGGGTGCGGGGGGCAGGGTGAGAGGATTCACCAGGGATGGAGTGGGGAACAGGACAGGCAGATCTACTGAAATACACTGCTGAGGGGAGCAGCAGGCAAGACAGGAGAGGTCTGCTGCGCCATGTGGGTCAGCTCCCTGGCTGGGGATCAAACTCATGTCGTAGTGCCTGGCAATAGCTTAATAGTGCTGGGACTTTAACCCCTGCGCCACCAGGGAGGCCCCAAAACAAAATCAAATTTAACCAGATCACCCCAACCCCAGTGGAATGAGAGCTTTGGGGGAAACAGAATCAGGAATTATTGGGATTGGTCTGTTTTTTTTTTTTTATGTTAAGTGAAGAAGTGAATACAAATAAAATCCTTTGCTTTTTTTTTTTTTTTTAAGATTTATTTATTTATGCATACAAGAGCTGGGGTATAGGCCAGAGGTGTTGGGGGTGAGAGGATTCACCAGAGACAGAGTGGGGCACAGAGCAGGCAGATTGACCAAAGTACACCGCTGAGGGGAGCAGCGGGCGAGTCAGAAGAGGTCTGCTGCGCCATGTGGGTTGCTCCCTGGCTGGCTGGGGATCGAACTCCCGTGCTGCAGTGGCGGCAGATTGCTTCATAGGTTGTGTCTTAACCCTTGCGCCACCAAGAAGGCCCTTTTTTTTTTTTTAACTCACAAGTTCCAGGGGTTTTTGCCAGGGACAGTGGCCTTTAGAGGACTGAGACTGAGGAAACTCTCCTTTAGATGGGATAAAAGCTGAAGGAAGCAACTGAGATGGGGGGGATGGGGGGAAATAAAGCCAACACCAAAAAAAAACCCATGGAGTTAAAGTTGGACTTGAAAGAGTGGGTCTGGGGACGAGGGATCTGCTGGCCGCCGTCTTCCTGATAACTCCCTCTTCCCCAGCTGGCTGGCCCGCACAGACCCCAAGGATGTGGCACGAGTAGAGAGCAAGACAGTGATCGTAACTCCTTCTCAACGGGACGCAGTGCCCCTCCCGGCTGGTGGGGCCCGTGGGCAACTGGGCAACTGGATGTCTCCAGCTGAGTTCCAGCAGGCTGTGGATGAGAGGTTTCCTGGCTGCATGCAGGGTAACCAGGGGAAGGACATGGAGGCAGGGACGCTGAAGGTATGAGCAGGTGGGAACCTTTCATTCAGGTGCAGTTTTTTTCCACAGGCCGAACCATGTATGTGCTTCCGTTCAGCATGGGCCCCGTGGGCTCCCCACTGTCTCGCATCGGAGTGCAGCTCACTGACTCGGCCTACGTGGTGGCCAGCATGCGTATCATGACCCGGCTGGGGACACCTGTGCTTCGGGCCCTGGGAGATGGCGAGTTTGTTAAGTGCCTGCATTCAGTGGGCCAGCCCCTGACTGGGAAAGGTGAGCACCCAGTGCCAGGGGCAGACACAGAGACCTGCTTGCACGCTGAGGGAATCCCTGATCCTCCCAGATCTCCCTAGTAAGACACCTAACTCCCAAAGCTGTACGAAACTGGGAAAAGTCAGTTATGCATGTCCAAGAATAGGTTCCTGGGAGCTGATGGATATTCTGAGGTAGGGGGCTTTAGCTACCCTTTGACACTGCCAGTGCTCCCAAGTCTTTCCTGCTGATCCTGACTCCCCAGTTCCTGACTCCCCAGTTCCTGATGCCCCTGCAGCAGCCCCATGATCCCCTTGTCTCCAGGGGAGCCGGGGAGCCAGTGGCCATGCAACCCAGAGAAAACCCTGATTGGCCACGTGCCCGACCATCGGGAAATCGTCTCCTTCGGCAGCGGCTATGGTGGTAACTCCCTGCTGGGCAAGAAGTGCTTTGCCCTTCGAATCGCCTCTCGGCTGGCCCGGGATGAGGGCTGGCTGGCAGAGCACATGCTGGTGAGGGCCGGGTGAGGGTCTGGGTAGTTTCAGGGGTGGGGGAGAGGGCAGGGCAGGAATGGGGCCGGCCAGTCAGCCTCAGCCCCTCCTCCCCACTGCCAGTGCCAGGCTGGTGGGCAGAGACTCTGCCTAAATGGCCCGAAACACTGGCCCCAGGCTGCTGAATGTTGGGGGGCCTCCCCTTGAGTGGCAAGGCAGT